GGGGGAGGATGGGGAGAAGTCTTCACTGTTCTGAATAGAAGCATACATACCTTGTCAATGATCTTTTGGAAGTGGACTTCCACAGAACAACTCTGGATGTCCGTATGTTCGTCAGAATTATGGATCAGCACAGAGAGTTTTTTGGATCTGATTTTTTGTGCTCGATACCCAAACACAAAAAGCATTGAATCAATGATATTGGATTTTCCACTGCCATTTGGCCCAATAATACATGAAAAACGCTGCATAATAGAAGGAAAAAAGTGATATTCAAAGGGAAATAGATCCTGGCCAGTGTACATCACCCATTTCATTTGTGAACAGTTTAAAACACAATTATTCCTAGGGCTTGAAACTGCAGACTGTTCGATAGCTTAGTTTTTACTGCTAAAGGTAAAGCAGTACAACTTACTTAATAAAAAACCCACACCTCAGCTCAGCTTTCTAAATTTTAACTTGTTAACTCAAAGCGATACTGCATTTAGCAAGCATGTTCGCAAGGAAAGTTTCATGATTAGCCACGTAAGTCTCTTGTGGGCACTAAAAAATATTCTCATTCTTCAAACACACCCCTAACAGTTCTCCAGTAAACGAAATAAAGAGAAAAATGTGCCTTTTTAAGGTTTACTGACAAAGTAAAAGTGTGCAGTATCGGAAAGTTGCACTTAACTGTTTTCTCTTCTGTCCAATAATGAAAATTTAGAATATCACTATATGAGTAATTCTAAAACGTAAATATTTTTCAGTTATTTTGAGGTAAGCTTACATGAAAATACAGGAAGGAATAACTAACACACAGCGAAGTCTTACCTTCATTTACAAAATGCTTAAGGTAAAAGAAAGATACCTTATGAAAAGGTCCCAAAGTTTGCTCCCCTGCATAGGATTTGAAGTTCTGGTTTACAATATGAGTTATCATGAGACGAGGAGCACCAGCTTCATTGGTCATTGCTGGAGGTGGGGGAGGAGAGATGCTACCCAAAATCTCTTCTAAACTTCGATTATCAAGCACCTCATTTGAGACTGCTAAAAACCATCCAAAACAAACAGAAAAAAAAAAAAAAAAGACTATAAGCTCTCAATGACCAGACACCTTTTAAAATGTGCAACTGGAAAAGCAAACATCATTTCTATATGAACCAAGCCTATCCTTTCGCCTGTAATTACTAAAATGAGCTAAGCGGAATTAAAATTCTTTTTTCCATGAACTGAATCTTTAAAAAGAGATACTTAAGATGTCCCATCGATTCACTAGTGGGTTTGTTCTTTCATTATGTAATTCTTATTCCAACACACTTTAATAGGCACTCTGCAATTACAATAGCTACAACCGTCACAATAAGCCTACAAATCTGAAACAGGCAAAGTCTTTCTCATTAATAAGTGCAAAGCCACATTTCAAGCGTGCTCACAAGTCACTCTGCAAGATTTGGGGATCGCTGCACAATGCTCTGAAAGCTGTAATGACAGCACAACTACTCTGCAAAGACAGGAAGTTTGTTACGAAAACAAACCGGCCCCCTGGATATCAGCTCGTTGTAAGCAAAGCAGCTTTTCAACAGTTACCAACATCTTTTTCTTCAAATAGACAGTAGTTTTTGCCACCGGTTTCAACATATTAAGCCATTTGTCAAATACCTTGCTTTAGTAATTGCATATCTGGCTACCTAAAAAGACACACACTGCTGGTTTTCCAGACATTTTCAGCAAAAACTCAAACTCGAGAAACTCAAGAAAGAAAATACACTGCTTCATGAAAAAGAAAGTCAAATCATTTTAAGAGTTAAGTAAATAAACTTGACATGTATTCCATTCCAAGAAATCCCATACCATTGGCTGCATATAAATTTGAAAAATCCTGCTGTTGTACCACAATCTTAAGCACAATGTTGCAGATCAGGAATATGAAATAGGCTTTATGAGGAGAAAGTCTACAAATTGCTTTTGCACTTGCACTAAATTGCTGGTCCAAACACTTTAACTCTTTGCGAGCCCTCTTTACCCTTTTTAAAAGCAGTTTAAGCTTACCAGGAGTCAAGGCTTTCAATATTCCTTTCTAGAAGAGGAAAGAGCAAATCCTATCTGGAACAGTTGGTAAATTCAACGGAACGTTGTTGCTAAACAGGCAGTGTCAAGCTCGCGCACCATCAGAACCACAATATTCAGACCTACCTTGTGGAGGTACTTCGCCAAGCCGTCTGTCACCTTCGTTTTCCACTTCCATGTCACTGGTGGACTCCTCTAAGGGCTCTCTGCCTTTCCGATGGGCTGCTGTAGAGGTTTTGGTGCTCTTGCTTGGCATGATCTCTGTTGGCTGTTCCCCTTCCATTCCAAGCAATCAAACTACTGAAGGGATCTATCTCCTTTGCTAACGTAAACAAGAAAACCCCGTGATCTAAGCATTGAACTACAACCCCCTAAGGAATATACCTACATGGTTGCCCAGATGTTTGACGAATTTAGAAACGAAAGACTAGAGGTATTTTGAAGACAAAAATCCGAATTTGAAACAAACACCGAAGCTTAGCCTCATAACGATATATTTTAAGATACATCACCCCCCCAAAACAACGGGCAGACCCTAATCCGTAGAAACTGCATGAATCTACCTACTGAAAACTCATACAGCCTTGTTCAATGCTGTTACTATGCTCAGAGAAAGCAACCGTGATGCTGGGGGCAAAAGAGTTAAAGACACATTCGCAGTAACAAACTGAGTAGCCATATGTCTTCTGGAAGCACTCTCTACATACACGTTTCAGACCTGACACGCATTTTACTTGCAACAGCCCACGCTGAATGTCTATTTTACATGGATAGACAGATAAACAACAAGACCTGCATAATTACAGCAAAGACTTGACTCTTAAAACAGTTCAAATCAACACATTCATTTCGCAAAAATATAACACAACCACCACGGCCAGCATTCAACGTTTAACAGAGAAAGCAAAGCAAAGTACCTTCATCTAGTTGTGATGTTAAAGTTAACTGGTCAAGAACGAAACATTACAAAAGTCCATCAGCTGGCACTTAAGCACAGCTCCCGAAAAGTACAAATAGAAAGCGACCGATGAGAAGAAAAGACGACCGAAAGAGCGAAACTCTCTCCAAAGAGTTTAAATTGCAGCAAGTGGCGAAGTTAGTTCGCAGAAAAACAGACATGAGAAAGTTTACTTCTCACAAGATAAAAAACTGACGTGGTTAGAAAGTCATCTTACAATTGGTGCCAATCATTTGACGTTTTCAGACCTACCCCCAACCCACACTCTCATGAGAGTCCTTCATTTGGGACAATGGGGGAGGGGGGGGAAATGAGAGAAAGAACTCATTTTAAGGCAATTTGAGTCTATGCCCCTGTTAAGAAGTGTTCCGCAATGGCTGTCTCAGACAATTACAGCCTCTCAAAGTACCAGATTTTTTTTTTTTCCTCCCAAAACTGCTTCGCTCCAACAGAATTGTGCAATATAGACCTATTTACCTTACCAACCCTTCCCCCCCAGATACTTCAACAGAATGAACAAGCATAACTACTTGACCTCGGCTTTTAAATCGCGATAAATCAACTGCCACATACGCTCTAACAAATTTAACAAATTCGTGCCCGGCCCCTCCCCTGAGTCAGCTCAAAGGTGTTTGTTAAAAGCATCTCTCGACGATCTCCTGCCAAGTGCCGTTTTTGTTACGGGGACGGCGAAAAAAGAGAGCCGGACAGAAAGGCTTCCTTATTAACAGCCGATTAAATTTGATAGCGCTAACCCGTGTCAGTGAAAAATTTTGGGGTTTTTTTAATCCATCCGTTAATCTAAGGAGTCCAACTGCACCCTTGTCACGGTCTTTCCAGCTCGTTATGGACTTTCTTACGGCTTGCGTCTCCTGCTTCAAGCATAAAAGGAGCAGGCAGAGCTGGGTACGGAAGGGTCCCTGCTTTGTAAGCAGATTAAAATCGGGCCTCTGCGCTACCGAAACGTATCCCTGTACTTCCCCGTCCTAGGTGGGTCTCCGATTCCCGGTCCCCAGAGGTCCGTGAGGGCACAGCGGGAAACCTGCTCTCTCCCCCGGGCTGCACAGGACCCTCTCTCATCCCCCCCTC